CCTCACTCCACTTGTCTGGGGAGGCTCATGTTTTCTCAACCTAGTCAGCAGAATTCAGTACCTTTTCCTTCCCTCCCAGTGAATCCACCCAGGCCACAAGGATTGCAGAGCCAAGAGATCTTGTATAGTGATGGAGGAGGGTTTGACATGGCAATGAAATCTTCTAACTCCAAGTCTCGTCCCCACATGTTTTATCTTCCTGCTCTTCAACAGGGTCTCTGCTCCCCCTCTGCTTCCCACGATGCTCCCACTCACTGGCTGAGTTTTCTTGGTCTCCCGCTTCCTCTCTCTCTCCTGCTTCTCTGCGGGCCTCTCAATCACTGTTCACTTCATTGCTTGACCCCAGCTACACCTACAGCCTCCAGGGGCACAGAAAAGAAGGAACCATCCTCTTCCCTCACCTCGTCCCTCCCTTTACCTTGGAAAACACAAGTGATTCAGAAGTTAGATACGATTTCATAATGACCTCAACTTTCACCCCCTTTTGAAGAACCTTTAAGTGAATTCCAGCCTTGCTCATGCCGATATAAAGGGTGAGCAGGTTCACGTGACACACTAGGAAATCTCAAGAGGCCCAAGGCTGGAGGCACTTCCCAGGGCTTGCCCCCACCCCAATGCTCAAAAAGTAGCATTTCCCCGTGTCCTGAGTCCATGCTAGGCACAGGCCAGAGAGGCAGGGCAGGAAGGAAAGATGGACACCGTAAAAGGGGGAAATCATGCCTATTTCACAGGGCTGTCCTAAAGACCAAGTGAAATAACATCTACAAAGGACCCAATGGTCTGTCTTGCTCTCAGGAGGTGAAAGAAAAGCTCTGCGGTGTACACCTAGACACAGTCTCCCTGCTGGTTAACTTTCCCAGCAAAAATACAGTGTGACTGATCCTCCTGGTATGGACACCCCACGAGGGCAGGGATTCTGTCCTGTGTGTTTCTCACTACATATCCATTGTATCTAGAATATGCTTTGGCATGAAGCAGTGCTTGGTATGTAGTTGTTGAGTTGAATGAAAAGACGAATGTATGGGTGAAAACCTGCAGACAGCAGAATGGGCTCAGAGAGGTGGAATAATGGTTCAAAGACTTGCAGCGGTGTGGCTGTAGAACTGAGACGTTAACTTGGTCTCTGTCCCACAGCACAGTGTCTTTCTTCTGCTCCGTGATCAGCCACAATCTAGGGTGATCTGATCTCAGGGTCAAATCTCCAAGAATACAGTCAGGAGAGGCTTGGAGTCTGGCACTCAGCAAGGATTAAAAGTCATCATGTCTCCAGTGTCTTAAATGGATCTTCTTCATGAAAGCCACTTTATTTACTATCTCTTAGCCATACTGCCCTTCCTTAAGTTCTTCAAATCGACTTCAGGGCCTTTGCACATGCAATGCCTTAGAACACTATTTACCTGGCTCCGCCTTGACTAAGTTCTTTTCATCCTTCAAGCCTTAGTATACATGGGCTTTCTTGAGAATCCATCCCTACTGTCTGCTATGGTCTAAATATTTGTGTCCCCCTTCCCTCCAAATTCATATAGAAACCTAATCTTTAGTGTGATAGTATTAAAAGATGAGGACCTTTGGGAAGTGATTAGATTATGAGGGTTCTGCCTTCTTGAATAAGATTAGTGCCCTATCAAAGGACCCTAAAAAGCTCATCTGCCTCTTCTACCTTAGGAAGGCACAGCCAGAAGATACCATCTATGAACAAGGAAATGGTGAAGAACCTCACTAGACGCTTGACGGTTGCCTTGATCTTGAAACTTCCCAGCCTCCAGAACGGTGGACACTAAATTTCTATTTTTTTTTTATAAGTTACCCCGTCAGCCTAAACAGGTTAAGACTGTAGTCACATAGAAATTTTTTCAGTTATTTTTTTCCCCATTATTGGCTTGTGATCACTTGTTGAGCTGTTCTCTTCCTATCTAGGGCCGGGGCATTTCTACTCTGTTGACTTTTGTATCATCAGTGCTCACACGGTGTCTGTAGCGAATGAATCAATGAACAAATCTGTTATCCAACAAAAGGCAAAAGGCTTGGGGATGAGGCCTCTTCCCATCAGTTATCCTAGTGACTATTGGAATATGCAGTGTTTCAAGGAGCGACTCCCAGAAGGTGACGGGCTCTTTGAGCCAAGCCCAGCTTGAGAGAGGAGCCTTCACAGTGCACTCTACGATTTCAGTGAGCTTCTGTTTAGGTCTGTTTCTAAACTCTTCAAGTAGATCCCAGGCAGATGACTTGATGTGTCTCCATCACAGCAGAAACCCAGACAAGGAAATCATATGCTCTGCTGTTGGCTCCTACTCACAAATGAAGTACAGCAAGCTGTGATAACAGTTGAATACATATTCAATCGGAGCCTTATTGGGGCATCTTTTTAAATTTATATCCTGTTAGAGTACATATAACTGGAATTTAAAAGCTATTTTAGATCGCAGTGAAAAAAAAAATATTTACTGAGAGCTTATGCAGTGCCTAGCCCCAGGGGAAAAAAAAAAAGAATGTAGAAAAGTCCCAAGCCCATGGGCTCTGTTCTCAAGAAGCAGACTATTTAGTTAGATGAACACATTTTATACACAAGATAGGATTAGACCTCTTAATGCATGCAATGAACAGGATAGACACTAAGTACGATTGAACTTAAAGGAGGAGAATAAATGTGTGCTGGCGTCTTAAGGGAAAGGAATGTGAATGAGGTGAAATTTAACTGGACTTTGAAAGATGGGGGAGAATAAATCAACATATTTATTGAGTGCCTACTGTGCATAAGATATGACACTAAATACTATGGGGGATACAAAGAATTATAAGACAGGGTCTTTGCCCTTGGCAACTTCGTGATCTACTTGTAGAGACAGGACATAAATCAGTGAGAAGTTAAATAACATTATGAGAGATAAATAGCCACCGAGACAATGGCAGCATGGGAGACGTCACGAGGCGTTGTGTGTTTACTTACACAATGAATGATATAGACCTCAAAAACATCAGAATTCAAAACAGGTGGGTTGGAAAGACTCCTCAGAAGATAGAAGACTCAAGCTGCAGTTTGAAGGATGGGGAGGACTGGCTAAGAAGGGGATGGAGGATGATGGGGGATGTTACCAGGGAGAGAGAGTGCAGAGGCAGGGAGGGACAGTCTGTCAGAGGAAAATGAGTGAGCCAGGTTGGCTAGAGCAGATGAAAAGTGAGAAGACGAAGTGTTAGGAGCAAAGCTGGATTATGAAGGTGATCAAAGCTAGGCCGCTGAGCGTACACATTCCCTCCACACCACTAAAAGCCACTGAAGATTTTGCTTAGGGGCATGATGCTTAGAGGTGGATCAGACATGCGTCTTGAATGTTTCAAACCTGGATTTCAGGAGGATTCAGTGACGCCTGCACACTCATGTACCGAGCACTTGTAATTGGCCGGATGTGGGCCTATCCAAGGATGCAAAGATTAGTAACATAGGGGCCCCTGCAAAGGAACCGAACAGATGCTTCACAGAAGAAATATGAATGGTCACCAAATATATGAAGGAATGTTCAACATCTCTAGCAATTGGAGAAATGCAAATCAAAACTACACTGAAATTCCACCCCACTCCAGTCAGAATGGCAATTATCAGGAATATAAGAAACAATAAATATTGGTGAGGGTGTGGGGGAAAAGGTACACTCACTCATTGCTGGTGGGACTGCAAATTGGTGCAGCCAATATGGAAAGCAGTATGGAGATTCCTTGGAAAATTGGAATGGAATCACCATTTGACCCAGCTATCCCTCTCCTTGGTTTATATGCAAAGGACTTAAAATCAACATACTATGGTGACAGCCATATCAAAGTTTATAGTGACTCAGTTCATAATAGCTAAGCTATGGAACCAACCTAGGTGCCCTTCAACAGATGAATGGATGAAAAATGTGATATATATATACACACACACACACACACACACACAAACACAATGGAATATTACTCAGCCATAAAAAGTGAAATTAATGGCATTTGTCAGTAAATGGATGGAACTGGAGACTATTGTGCTAAGTGAAATAAGCCAATCCCCCAAATCCAAAGGCCAAATGTTTTTTCTGATATGTGTATGCTAACACACAATAAGGCATGGGAGAGAATAGGATTTCACTGGATTATACCAAAGGGAATGAAGGGAAGGAAGGGGGAGTAGGAAAGACAACAGAATGAATCAAACATATCTTTCCTATTTCATATATGAATATGCAACCAGTGAAACTCCACATCATGTACAACCACAAGAATGGGATCCTAAGTTATACTCCATGTACATATAATGTGTCAAAATATACTCTACTGTCATGTAAAAAAAATAATATAGGGCCTCTGGCTTCAAAATTCTTAAGTATAAAGTGAGATAATGCTAAGTAAGCAATTTTAGATTGCTCAATATCTTCCAGAACAACAGACAATATCATAGAGAGGAGTTCAGGAATCAGGAGGGGGAACTTCAGATTTCAGCTGTATGGAAAGGGAAAGAAAACTTCAATTTAGGTGCATAGGATTCAAGATAAAGGAGGGGTTTTTCCCACAGAAATGGGCAAAGGCAAACCTGAGATTTAAGCTCAGAGCAAGGCTCAGGAGGAGGGATGCAGATTGTAGAGGACACAATCTGTCACTCTTCAATAGGGAGGTGGGGGCTGCTTTGCAGAGTTCAAGGTCGGGATGGTGGGAAAAAAGCCCTTGGAAGGTTGTTATGGTTTGGATGTGAGGTGTCCCCCAAAAGCTCACGTGTGAAAGAGTGCAAGAAGGTTCAGAGGAGAAATGATTAGGTTGTGAGAATCTTAACCCAATCAGTGAATTAATCCCCTGAATTAACTGAGTGGTAACCCAAGTGGTAGGGTGTGGCTGGAGGAGGTGGGAATTGGGGGGTGGCTTTGGGTATATATTTGTATGTGGCCAGTGGACTCTCTCTCTCTTCTTCCTTATCACCATGTGAGCTGCTCCCCTCTGCCACACTCTCCTGCCATGATGTTCGGCCTCACCTTGAGCCCTGAGGAATGGAGCCTGCCTTCTGTGGACTAAGACCTCTGAAACTGTGAGCCTGCAGGTAAACTTTTCCTCCTCTATATTTGTTCTGGTCAGATCTTTTAGTCAACAGCAGTGAAAGAGCTGACTAAAACAAGGGACTCGTCAAGCAACCAATCCTCTGTTCTTGGGAGGTTTTGACCCCAAACTGGATGACCATGTTATGAATATCACACACACACAAAAAAAAATTCCCTAAAGCTGGGAGAAAATTGGACCAGTTAAAGAGTTTCAACCCCGGTGCTTACTAAGAAGAGTGTGGTTACTAATAAAGTCTAAAAATTTGGAAGTTTATAAATGATTTCCCCTGTTATAGTAATGAATCAAGAACATAAAATTCTCCAAAATAATAATTTTTAATTTACTGACTTGCATTTAAGTATGGTTCCCTGAGTGAGAAAGCAGGGAAACTTACCTGAAAGCTAACTTACTTGGAAACTGGAAGGTAATTCCCAGCCCATGGCAGGTCCCCCAATATCTGTGGCTTACGTGACTATCATTGATGTAGGTGTGTATGGTTGAAAATGTTGGGTGTGTTAAGCAAACCACAGGTTCTCTTGTGACACAATATTTCTATGGCACTGTGTTGTAATTTAACAATTAGATGATTAATTGTTAATCTTCTAATTGTTAAATTAGATTTGTATACAAATAAACTAATGGAGACCTTTGTGAGTATCTGTGATTTCCATAAAGCAGGAAGAATTTTTCAGGATCAAGTCAAAAAAGATGACCAAGAGATTGGAAAAGAGAGTGGCCATTCACAGAGATGAAGGTATTGGGGGATTTAGACCTTTTCTTTCCTCTGGATACAGCTATCCATACTTCTGTGTCAAATTTCTCTTTTTGAATCAGGTACCTGATTGAATCTTCCATTTCTTGGAGTTTTGATGCTCATCACCCACGGATCACTCTTTTAGGGCCCAAACTCCATCGATGACATCTGCTGCATCCCCGTGGCAGACGACGTGGTGGACCTCCAGTGAACAGCAGCCTGTGTGTACCAGGGGATAGGGAGCCACCAGCCGCGAGCGGTGAGTGGAGAAGAGATGGGAGTGTGAGTGTTTCCTGTGATGCTCCCAGCCTTCTTTCCACCCACGGAGAGAGTGTGCTTCCTCTCTCTTCCTCAGAAGAGCAAGTGGTGTCATTGCTTATTGAGAATCGTGAGTATCTTTTTTATCCAAAGACATCAGCAACAGAAACCAGGGATTTGAGTCCACTATCATTCACTCTGCCAATTGTCCCTTGCTGTATTCTCTACTGTTTGTTTTCACCCACTTATAAATAACCTCATATTGTGGTCAGACACTTCTTTTAAGCATTGCTGGGGCCTTGGATGATGATTGTCTTCACTTTTTTTCGATGAAAAAACGCCAGAGGAATTTCAACAAAAACTCCCCCTCCTGCTTGGCCTCAATCTGGACTCCCTTTCTTTCTTTCTTTCTTTCTTTCTTACCTTCTGTTGGCTTCCTGCTCTCTGTTTTCCATCCCATTGCCTCCCCCAATATTCATGTTCAAAGATGCTTTGAACACAACAAGAATACTGCCCGAGCTAATTATAACTGCACATGAATTTTGTTACATCATACATTTCTTTCTTCTCCTGAATATCTCAAATTGACCTTTGATCAATAAAGAGAATTAATGTGATAATTTCTCTCTCCCTTTTCCCTCTCTTTGGTTTCTACTGAAGGGATCTACAGCCATCCCTGTCTGTGTGTCTTTTTTTAAGTTCCCTGTCCCTTGCACCCTTATTGAAACCTAAAATATTGATGAATTCTCACTTCAGGCTCCGAGTTCACTAGCAGAACAGTTCAGTCCAGGTGGAGGCCAACGCAGATTCCTTAAAGGTCAGCAACAGTGAGGTGTGGAAGCTAAAGTGGGGTGAACAAAAGACGCTAAATGACTTGAATGTTCTGTGGACGTGGGATGTATATTTTGGGAAACGATCCAGGACAGTGCCCGAGGTGAGCAGGATTCCGTGGTGGTGTGTGTGAACTGGCAGCTGGTCTGTGTTGAGCAGCCCGCTGCAGATCCCAGTGGCAGCTTGATCTCAGGTGTGGCCTTAACTGCGCTAAGAAGTTTCCTATTAAACAGGGGTAGTGACAATTCCTATCTCAGAGGGCTGGAGGCAGTACTTAGCTAAGACTTATGAAAACGTTTAGCATGGTAAGAGGCATAAGAACTTGATCCACAAGTGGTAGCGATCACTCTATGTAATCCCTTTCTAATGCCCTTCCCTGAGAGGCAAATTGTGACCACCACTTCTTCAACTATCTCCTTGAGAAATTCTTGGTGCATGGAAATGATGTTCAGAACTCATCACAAGCCTTAGGAAAAGAAGGAGTAAAGGCAAGGACTGTTTGCCCTGTAGACAATGCCAATAACTGAGTTGACATCAACTTAGGAAACTTCCGCACAGTCCAAGACATTAACCTGCTTGCTGTTGGCTTGTCTCAGTGATATGTTACTATGAGGTGTGTGTGTGTGTGTGTGTGTGTGTGTGAAAGGGAATTTTTCTATTGCTTTGGGATTGGTGCTTGGTACAAGGCCTACCAAGGGCTAGGGCGAGGACCTCTCCCCAGGAGGCTGGAGTGGACTCTAGTTCACAGTCTGAGAGGTGGAGGACTGAGGGGCAGAACAGGTCAAATTGGAGGTGAATTGTTTACATCAAGAGTTGTGCTGCAGGGAGGCTCCTGGGACAGGAGAGCTCACACCTGGGCCCCAGGAGACACTGCCCACAGTTGGAGGACTGATGCCTGGAGGGCCTCCGGGGCCAGTCTGTGCAGAGGGAAGCAGAGGAGTCATCAGAGAGAGGACTGCAGCGGTAGCCAGCCATGGACCCCTCCCCCTGCCTTCCCCCCTCTTCAACAGCACCAGAGGAGTCAGGACGAGGACAGGAGAGGTGGCTCAGAGACCAAGCACAGCCCCAGGTCCCAGCTGGTAAGGGCTTAAAATGTGTCCTCAAGAAGATATGCTTATGTACCTCGGAAAGTGACCTTATCTGGAAATAGAATCTCACAGAGGCAATGACATTAAAATGAGGCCATTAGGGTAGGTTCCAATCCAATGTGACCACGTATTTCCTAATGAAAGGGGAAATTTGGACATAGATATACAGAGGAAAGACGAGTGGAGAGACATAGGGAGAACGCCAGGTGACGATGGAGAGATGCTGCTGTAACCCAGTTGGGACCACGAACTGGAAAAGGCAAGAGAGCTTTTAGCAGGATCACAGCCCTGATTTGGGGCTTTCAGCCTCCAGATTGTTGAGACGATGATTTTCTATTGCTCTCAGCCACCCAATTTGTCGCACCTTGTTAGCTCAGCCTCAAGAAGCTTCTATGAAGCTCAAAGCTTTGCAGGTGGGAGGGGAAGGAGGAGTGATTTAAGTCCATTGAAGACTGAAACTTTCACATGAGCTGCACTTTAAGAGCCAAACATGACCAAAAAGTTATAGAATCTACCAGAATTTTATCAAGGGATGTGCTATGTAGGAAAGGGTGGTTCTACAGAGCTTAGCCAGAAGCAGTGACTGGAAAAAACACAATTATTTTATGCATACACCCCATCACGTTCAGACTGCACAGCAAACCGGTTTCATACAGATCCAAACATCCTCTGCCCACCAGATGCTTGGAAATTTGCCAGGATTACTCTCAGGCTGCATGCTGGTTTCCATGACAATGCATGTAAGAGACAATCCTATAACTACTCAGTTGGCAGACTAGGAACTAGTAGCAGTTTTAAATGCTATGACTGCTAATGTTTTGTGATTAAACCTGATGTTTAGTGATATACCCTTGGGACCATGAATCACGGAAATCTGAGAGAACTCAAGAACAATAATGAAACTCACTCAATGAATCCATTTACGTTACAGGTAGAATAGAGAGAAGACCCCTTTCCATGTCTTGTTTTTTGTAATTAGATTAGTACAAGGAAGCTCCTTACCCAAGAGAATCTCTACCATAGTCTAATTCCCAGTGTCCTTTCCCAAGCTTGAGTAAGGTAATGGGCTTTGTTTCATTCCCATTCAGCCCACTGAGATGCGCCATTACGCTTCTGCACAGTCCCAAGAGGTTGTGGGCTATTAGCCAAGTTTCAGGGGTGGAGCATCACCCAGGATTTCTACCCCTCTTCCTCCTGGGGAGTGAGGCAGGGAGAGAAGTCTCATCAGGGTGGGAAGTCAGCTATGTTCACCCTGCAGGATCTCAGCAGGACTTATTACTGCAATTAGCACTTTCTCTCTTGCAGGACAGTGAGGGCAGCTCAGCTATGGCCTCCTCATCACAAACTCTAATTTTCTTCACCTCGCAGGACTGGAATTATTTAGAGTTATTTTCCTGATTCTTTGATTCACTAGACAGTTTTTGATGGTATGCCTGGGTGTGTTGAGCATTGGTGAGTTTGGAAATGATGGAAACCCTAGAAGAAGAGGCGTTGAAGGAGACAGTGAGGGATGGTAGAATGGCTGGGGGAGGACACAGAGACATGTCTGGGACTACCATGGGGTCCCCAGGATAGAAAAGAAGAGGATGTGACCAGGGCTCTGAGCAAGGGACAGGAAGCCCTCCTATTTATAAGACTACCTCTTTTACAGTTATCTCCAGACACCCTGGGTGCTCTTGGTGGGAAATCAAGTCTCTCCTCCTTAAGACCTAATCTTCCTTCCCATCACAACTGGGCCCTGGGTGGTTGAGTTTTGGATGTTTATTCTGACTTATAAGTTGGCTCTACTGGAGAAGGAGGAAGGGCAAGACGGCAACCAGAATTAAAGTGGTCTATTTGCTTTCTATAAAATAAGCTTCACTGTTGTGAAATGCTTACATCATTTCAAGAAACTCCTCTGGATCACTTTTTCTCTCTCTCTGACTTTACAAATTGAGATCTATTGACCATTGCTCCTTTACTGTCTTCTTTCCTTGGCTTTTAGGACTTCACATTCATCTGGTTTGCCCTCATCTCTTGGGCAGCTCATTTTCCATTCATTCTCTGCTTCCTTTGCCCCTAACTTACTTTGAATGCTGTTCTCTCCCATTTTTTGTTCTTAGCCCTTTGACATTCTTTCTTTCTGAGTTTTTTTTCCATTCATTTCCTTACTGATGACTTTCTGATCTCTATTTCTAGCCCAGGAAGTGTTTTTAACTCTAGGCTCAGAATTCCATTTCTTATTCAAAAGATAACTCCATCTTTATAGAATGCAAACACTTGTAGTAGACGCCTAAAATCTTCTATTCCTTCCCACTCTGCAAATCAGCCTTTTCTCTTCTATTATCCCAAATTCCACCAGCTAGCAAGATCAGAAATGCAGGAAGTCTTTCATAATTTCATATTCTAACTAACATCACACCCACCAATCACCCAATCCTAATAATGCCACCACCTCACTAGACCTTGTCTGTCTCCATCTACTTCTCTATTCCAATGCCACAGTCCAGATTACCACCGACTGGCATCTGAGGGGAATGTTAGATGTGTGGGTTCTCCAAGTTGGCTTGATTTTTTTGGTATGTATCTTGTTTTGTTTTGGTATACTTTCAAAACATCATTTAAGTGTATTCATCATTTATTTAGAGAGAAATTGCAAAAAAGCACACCCATGGAAGGAGCACTAAAGCCAAGAGAGTTGACTTCAGAGAGTATAAAAGAGTTCTCCTACAGGCTGGGAGGAGAAGGGGTAGTTAATGGTACCCAAATACAGCTAGAGAGGAGCAGTAAATTCTGTTTCCCACAGCACAGGAGGGTGCTGATATTCAAAATAATTTATTGTATGTATTTTATAAAGAACTAGCATCCATAGCTTTCCAACACACACAAAAAGGATATATATTTAAGCAGAGAGAAATACTAAGTACTCTGATTTGATCAGTACACGTTGTGTGTATATAATAATATATACATGACACATACATATGTCTATACATACACAAACATATATGTCAAATTATCACACTTGTATATTTCCTTATGAAATTATTTACTTGTCTTAGTTTTTATTTTTATTTTTCTAACTTTTAATTTTGAATTGTAAATTAACAGACACACACACATACACACACATATATATATAAACATATATATGAGGTACAAGTGATGGTATGATTCATGAATATGATGTGGAATAATTAAATCAACTAATGGATATATCCATCGCCTCAAA